AGAAGTAGATAGCCAGACTATCCTGGAAGGTAATGGAAAAGTCTTGTAGCGGGGCTTAGTGGTGGAATTTATAGTTAAATGAAACTTTCAAATATACTATAAAACTTCCCCTTCCTTTACATAGTTTTACTTGAGGTCTCATAAGCAGTAATATGTAGAAATGCAAAACTTAATCAGCTAAAAAATATAGCAAATCCCACATATCACTTTATGCAATACCAGGAGAGTAGAAATATATTTTCCCAACCAGAGGAAATTAACTAGGCAACAGTCCTATATCTATAATTTAAAGCAGTAAAATATGTATGGCAGAAACTAAAGCCACCTTAAAAGAATTCAGGGTAGCAGTGTATCACAAATTAATGAAATGGAGACATTTTTAGAGCATGCAGCACTGACGATATTAAAGGGGGGAGAATATTTCACCACATAGATCAGTCTGATAAATACTTTTAAAATCAAGCCTTTTTCCCTGTTTAAAAGTGTAAGGGCTTGAATATTAGGGGGAAGCACACACAAAGTCATTAACGTTTCTCATCAAATCTCAATGCCGCTCCACACAGATTAGGAATATCTCACTCTGCCCCTGCATATAAACCTCTAATGTGGTCAGAGGAAAATCTGTGTAAATCAAAAGGCAGGAATTATGGAGACAGGTCTTACTTTATTTCACCTAAAACAGAGCTGAAAGAAGCTCTAAAATACTTTATATTTCATGCTGTAGCCAAGTTGGGCACTATGGAATATTCAACTACCCCTGTTTTTTTAAATGCAATCAATTTACTGCTGCCAAATGTAGTAGGTTTATATACATCTGGGAAACATGCACCTACAGTGCTGATGAATTTCTCCTGACATTGCACTGATTTCAAGAGAATGTTATTTTAAATTGGCAGTAGAGAGACTGGTAGAGAAGGATAAAGCCCCGAGGACAGCTGAATCAAAGAGAATTTCAAAAGAATTTTCCTGATGGTTCTTGGATAATATCACGTTAGCTATTTTCAAAGCCAATAGTTTCCAACACACTTCCATTTATGGTATCAATAATTAAAAAATACTTCAGTGGGAGATGAACTTACCTTACTGAGGAGAGAAATTGGAAAGCTTTATTATTATCGTAAACACAGGAGATGCAAAGAGCTTTGTCTCCATGGAAAAGCTATGGAAACAGGGATATCTTATTTGCAACTATTGAGTGGTTACCACAAAATGTGATGTGATTGTATGTGCATGTTCAAAGTGTTACTACATGATCACAGAGAAATTAAGGGCAGATCCTCATCTCCTTTGTGCAGCAAGGCCAAATTAAACCACCTGAAGATTAGGTCCTAAAACCCAAAGCCAACTAGAAGAAGCGTTAAGGAAATATTTTGGATCAAATTCAGAGGTAAAACTAAAGAAAATTTAAATTACCAAAACTTAAATCTCATTATGTCCCACTCCCTGCCAGCATGTCCCTGCCAGCTACTAATGAATTTTTAACATCTTTCCCCCACCCCACTGCGCACATCGGCTCTGACTCCGGCACCCTGAACCGTACAGCACATTACAGTCTAATTGTAACTCACATGTCAAGGGGCAAGAAGAAAGGAGTGTGGTGAGAGCATTGATAAATTTAACTTAACATTCCTCCAGCTACTCAGCAGTAAGGCAGAGCAGTGAACTCCCCTCCACATTTTACATGGGTGTCAGTTACTTCAAAGGAATATATTTGAGCATGAGGGAGCCTGGCTCGCTCCCAGCTTATGCATCATTTGTGTCTGGCTGTTTCTGGAGACCCACAGCAAAGCAAAGACTTCCTTCAGTTTGGGGTGCATTGTGGAGCTTTCCATAGCTGTTTTCTTAGGGGCGCTGGAACAGGTCAGCTCTGTATGCTGCATGAAAAATGTGTAGCTGGAGCTGCAGCTCTCACCCTCTGCATTTCTTCTTTTTTTTTTTTTTTTTCCCCCCCATTTTTTCCCAGAGTGCTCTCAGTGCAGGTTACAGATTAACGATCTCTACCTGCTCAGTTGAACATACAAACGTATTTTTAAATCAAGAACCTGTGCGATCAGGTTCTGCACGCAGAGTTGCGTGCACATCGCTGGGTGTTTGCAGCCATCTGGAGTAAGGCGAGAGGTGGCCGCGGGTCACCCTCACAGCATGGGCTCGGCACAGTGCGGGAAGGATGTGGATGCAGGGCATGAGGAACGGGCACCGCTTCCTACCCATCGGTGACTCCTGGGAAACTGTGCAACAGCCACGGGGAACAGCGCGACTGCCATGAGGTAACGTTAAGGTTTCGGTGATCCCACAACCTCTCTTTTGAATGTTTTGGCACTTGTGGCACCAAAAATTTAAGGGGTTTCTCAACACCCCTTAACTGATATTAATGGCATTGTTTTACCTTGCAATTAATCTCCTTAACTGGCTGATCAATTTTTGGAAGTTTTTTTTTCATGGCACGTAGAGAAGAGCTGTTCTAATACCTGCAAGGGATCACGAAGCGATTTTTGACTAAATGTACAAAAACTGGTTCGAGAATTTCTCGCGCACACAGAAGAAAGACGATATTCACCATGACAGAAGTGCAAATCACAGAGGTCACCTTTGGTTTTGAAGTCCTTTGTCTATTCTTACAATTAAGCAATAGGGCTTTCGTGGCTGATAACTGCTTGCGAGACATGGAGGACTTTCATACTATAAATAAGGCTGAGTGACCTCCTCCACAAACAAAGGCTTCCTGCCTGCGGCAAGGTGGAGAGCAGGAACAAGTCCCAAAGGATTTACAGCTGCAACTAAATAGCCCAGTCCCTAATTTGAATCAGTAAATTAAGGGATGACAATGATTATGGCTGATCTCAGCCATTATAAACGATATCACGATTTTGTAAAAACAGACTGTTGATGTCAGATCTTGGAGCTAGGACTCAAAAGAATGAAATATTTTAAAGCTGCAGTCTCCAAAGAGAGACAAAAGCCTCAAGACTATGATTTCTTTTATTTTATTTTTGTATTTGTAGGGCCCAGACTAGACCCTTTAATCCACAGGTTGACATTTTCCAATCCTACTAGGAATTAAGTGCCTAACTTTTTCAGGCTCTGAAAAATCTCAGCTTTCGGTTCTTAGGTAAGTTTGGCCTGAACCAGCATCAGGCTTCTTTTGAAAAATGCCTTTACTGAAAGCACAACTTTAGGCACTCAATTATATAATCACGGCAAAAATATTAGGATTTTTCCCTATGTAGCCAATTATTGTAGATTTCTGGCTAAATATCAAAGGGTAAAACTTGCATTTCAAAAAAAAAATTTGTGTTAGAGAATGCTTTCCCCCCCCCCCCCCC